GTACTTTCGGATGTTTGGAACCATTTTAAAGCGGTAAGCTTGACCGGAAATTGGCCGGTTTGCCGGAATTTCACCGGTTCAGAAATTTTAGAATTTTCGGTCATCAGATAAACAGGTGAATAGATTTTAATCACGGAGGTAAGTATCACTATAGGTGTTACTGTACTTCGAAAAACTTCTACAACGCATCACATAGATCATATTTTCTTATGAAAATTTTGGATACCAAGATAACTTGACAAGCTGAACACGATGTTACTATTAGTTTTGTAGACAACTTCTAACAGTCTGCGAGAACTTCTATGAAACTCTTGAAAAACCTAGAAAAAAGCTGGATTGTTACAAAGAAAATGAGTTAGAACAATCAAAAGCCGCTTATTTCCTGAAACGCAACACATACAGTGAAAGAGGAGACTTCCATGCATCTTGTTACAACAAAAACTCAATTTTGGAATTTTTTCGAAAAATATGAGTCTTAGAGCTGTGGAGAAGGGGCAGTTCTTATCTAGGTCCTTAATTTGTCCTCTCAATCTATTTCCATAAATATGTTTCCATCCACCTATACCTATACCTATGCATCTTGTATCTTGACCGAGACTCCTTAGCAAGGGGTGAACCATTTACATTAAATTTGTATTAGGAATCAGAGATGGACACAGCAGAGAACGGAGCGGCTGTCCTGCCGCATGGCAGAACAAGTAAAGTCAGAGCGGTAAGACAAGACAGGACAGAACATGTGAGCTTGTTCTGTATTTTTATAAGTAATTTTTGTATGAATTTTTTATTTAAATTTTTCCTTAGAATATTTTTATAATATTTATCACAATTGGTTATACTTTCCATATTCACTATCAGTCATAGATGCCACTATAAAAGTGGCAAACAATAAACATATCCACACACCCACACCCACCCAAAAACTTTGAAGTCCATGATTGAAGATTTTGCTCTACGCAATAACGACAACTATAGTTTTCTGTTTAAATAGGCTGCTTGGTTCGGAATAGTAAATAACAGATGGCATTGATATTTGAAGAGAAATTTGATCATTGACCATATCGACGTGATATTTATCAGTCGTTGATCATTTAGTGCCTCTTGTTCTCGATTACCCGGTGATGATGATGATGATGATGATCTCTGGAATTGAGGTATCTCTTCATCGTCACTTGCTGGTCCGTATACGGTGTTCACGACCATGGTCATAAACCAGATAAAAAATCGTTGAATAAAATTGATTTGATGAAGAAATGCCCATAGACGGATCAAGAAGCGTTTTTCATTTTCTTGTTTTTGCGTCCTATGTTTATCGGCCATTTTTTCAACAAAATTATCAATATTTGGGTATTTAGGATCATAGTCTCGTCGAATTCGTTCTTGATATTCGAAAATAATTCGAAAACGATAATCATTTATGAAACAGGATACTCGTTGAAGTGGTTTAATAAGAGAACAGAATGTTAAATCAGCCGCCGAGAATTGGTTACCAACTAGATAATTGTTTGTACGTAAATGATCACCAACTTCAAGAAGAATCTTTTCTGTTTTTTCTTTTAGCCGTTCCTCCTTTATGCGATGAAGTCGATATCGAGCAATCATAAAACAAGCAATAATCGAACTAATCAAACGAGAACGAATATCATCTGGATTATAAGCCCATGAAAATTTTTCACCTAATAAAATTGACATTGCACCTGGTTTCTCGTTGAGAATTTCGACATACGCAATCCGGCGTGCATAAAGACCTAATTCCGAATCAAGTTGTAAACATGTATTAAT